GACCCTTAACACCTTTTAGACCCTTTCCTAAAATAAAATTTTTTAAAAAGGGAAATGACAAAATGAAAACTTCTGAAAATTCTGTATTCCCTAAAATCAATGAGGAATCTGGCAAATTTGTTAGAATTAACATTTGCAGAACTCTGCAAATAAACCAAAAGTCTGCAGCAATCTAGGGAGTATTTATTCAAGAAAGGAAGCTCATCTGGATGTGGTGGTGCATGAGGCAGAACTCTTCCAAGTTTGAGGTCAGCCTGGGCTACATAGGAAGCTCAAAACCAGCCTGAACAACACAAGATTCAGTCTCAAAAAAAAAATAAATAAATAAATAACATAACATAGCAAATAATAAGGAACTAGGAAACAATAAAGCCAAAGCAAATAGAAGAGAAGTGTTAGAGATGAATTACAGAATAGGATAAAATGAAGAACATCAATTATAAAATACGGTTCTTTGAAAACAATTATAAAATTAACCTTTATCTAAACTGATGAAAGAGGGCCAGTCAGATAGCTCAGTGGATTAAAGCGCCTGCTTAGGCAGATGCAGGGACTGGAGTTTGATCCCCAGCCTGCCATGCTGCCCCTGGGGCACTGAGTCAGAGATTGAGACTGTGCATGGTGGTGTATGCCTGTAATCCCAGCACTTGAGAAGCTGAAAACAGGAGGGTCACAAGTCTGATGTGTGTAGTGAAACCCTGAAAACCTTGTACCAAATATATTAAAAAAAAAAAAAAACTGATGAAAGAAATACATTCAAAATTAGGAGCTAAAGAAAGGGGAACATTACTAATAACTCTACAGAAATAAATTAAGATTATAAGAAATAAACATAACCTAAACCAAATGGATTCTTACCAGTTATGACCAAGAGAAACAGAGATTCTGAACAGATCTGTAACAACTAGTGTTTTAACTAGTAATCAAAACATTACCCAATTAAAGACCAGAACCAAAACTATTTTTGCTGGTAAATTCCACTAAATAAGTAACTTTTCACACACACACAAAAAAAAAGGGAAATAACAGTTTCCATTTCATTCTGTAAAACAACATACTATTACACTGATCCCAAACCAGACAAAAATACTAGAAAAAAAGAAAACCTGCTGGATGGGTGTGGTGGTGCATACTTGTCATCCCAGCACTCAGGAGGCTGAGGCAGGAGGGTTGCCACAAATTTGTGGCAGCATAAACTACAGAATTCAAGACCAGCCTGAAATGCATAGCAGAGTCTTGTCTCAAAAAGACAGAGAGGAGGGGAGGGTAGAGAACTTAGAAGAGTAAATCTTATGAACACAGAAAAAATGCAGAATAAAACATTAGTAAACCAAATCCAGCAACATATAACAAAGAACCTCTCATTTTTGTCATTCATAAAAAAGAAAAAATGAAATTAAAGAACAACTAGGAGCCACTGGCCTGATAGCTCAGCGGACTAAAGCACCTGCTTAGGCAGAGCGTAGCACACAGGGTTCAATCCCTGGCATGTCGTGCTGGCCCCAACGCTGAGGCGTGCTGAGATGGCATTGAGACTAAGCATGGTGGCATGTGCCTGTAATCCCAGGACTTGGAAGCTATAAACAGGAGAATCACTATGAGTACAATCTACAATCTACATAGTGAGACCCTGAATATCCTGTAGACCCCGTCCTAAATACAGGAAAAAAAAAAAAAAAAACCCGGGATGAGGAAAAGGGGAAAAACGTATGTACATATACACACACAAGATAGCTAAGATAATTGTACTACTAATTTCTATTAGTTCACTGAAAGGAAGTTAGTGCTTATATTGTTTGATCAATTCTGCATGCCTATATCTGGTAATCTGAGCAACTACTCTGAAGGTACCAATGTGCAATACAATAACCACCGTTAATTTCCTACCATCTTGTTTTGAAATTCTGTATTATTTTTATTGTTTTTTAATCGATCTATTTACAATAAAATAGTAATAAAAAAGCCTACATTTTCTACTAATTAGTAAACTTTTATTGAACATGAGGACTACTCTAAGCATTTTATAAATGTTTTGTCATTTAATCCTCTAAACAACTCTAGAATGGTTTTCCATTTGTAAAATGAAAATGCTTAAGAAGCAGAGAAGTGAGATACCCAAGGCTTTTCCAGGGTTTGATTATAGGCTGTTTAACTTCAAACTCTGGCATAAAACAATTCATTTACTTCTCTTATTTGGTTTCTTGATCAGAATGATACATGTATCATCTTTAAAGTCCGATGGGTCTGAAATATTATAAAAGCATTAAGAATTGTTTAATTTTTTTGTAGTTAGAAAATTAAACAGTGGTTCAAAGGAAACCTGAGAAAGTTTTCCTGTTGTGACAGCTTGCCTAGAACCCAGAATGAATGATAATTTCTATTATATCCAAAACATTCTCCTCGTCATGGCCTCTAAAATAACGCAGTATTCTGTCCTTGAAAGAAACAGCAATTACACATAGGATATACATGGTGTGAAGTGAACTGATTTTTTTTTTTTTTTTTGGTACCAGAAATCGAAATCACAACCTCAGGCACTTTCCAGGCAGGCACTGTGTTGCTGGGCTATCTCCCTGGCCTGGTGTAACGTGAACTGATGACATAACATACAAGTCATAAGTCAATCTGCATGACACATTAACTTGATCTAATTACACAAATAAAAATATGTACCGTTCATTATGCTCTTGATAAACAAGTCTGGACTTCTCCAATAGGTATTTTTCAACATAGGCACTAAAAGAAAAATAAAATACGTTAATATAGAAACTAAAGTTTAATGTAAGACATACATCATTATTTATAGACAATGCAAAAGTATAAAGAACATGCTCCAGAGCATTTCATCACATTCAACATTATGATTGTGTTAGGGATGCTGTTAGTGCTACCCATGAATTAATTCACAAAGTCCTGGCTAGAGAATGAAGCAAGTAAGTGGACTCCATTAAGAAGAGGAAATATACTGTGGGCCACAGAAATAAACTTTATGTGCAAGTAGAGAACAACCACAACATCAAGCGTTATCTCTGATATTTTGTTTTATTATCTAGATTGTGCCTTTAAGATCTTCAGTATCTCTTATCTACATGAGAGCAACTAATACCTCACTAGGAAAAGGATTTCTATAATCTGAAATTTTAAAACAATAGATTACCCAAACCAGATTACTTACACAGTGCCCTTTGCTTCAAAATTTGAACCTTGGACAAAACTTCCCCTAAGTCTTCTCCATCACATGCTCTCTACTTCAGACACAAATACAGATGTTCTCAAGCATAACATGCACCCCTAATTGTACTGCTCTTGCTCTTCATTTCACTTCTGATTCCTTACTCTATTCTCAATCTCAGGCCAGTGAATTTCATTCCTGTACTAAAATTAAGTTCAAGTGTGTTTTCCTTGCAAACCCATTGTTGCTAGCACCACCAATTAAATTTGTCACTTCTAAACTATCATGATCATTGCTAGTTTCAACTACTCAAATAAGCTACTACCTGTTCAAGATGGAAAAAAGGGGGTATAAATGAATATGACAGTCTCATAATACCCTACATGAAAAACATTATTTCCCTCATTTTATAAAGGTAGAAACTGATGCTCAAAGATACTAAGATTCTATGCTAGCAGAAGCAAAGTACAATATGAAACAATAAGCATGTCTACGTTTTTGGTGATATACTCAGTGGTACGTTGGTTCATGAACCTAATTCTGGGAAAGATGGCCACAATCATCTTTAGCACTCAATGCAGAGTTTGCAAGGAAGACTTTGCCAAGCATTTCGGTTTGCAACTCGAACTGTTGCATGAAGACATGTTTATTTCTACAGATGTTAAAAAGACCTTCAATAAAATTCAATACACATTACTAACAAAAACACTCAAGGAAGTCAAAATGAATGCTTAATTGGGTCATATAATAAAAGGCCCTAAACACATAGTAAAACAAAAAAAGAAAAGATAGAGTTAGGTCACTGGTGTGTACTTACACCCTGGCCCTTCCTCTCATTCTCCTTCACTTTCCAGCTGCTGTGAGGTGAGCAGCTTTACTCCATCACACACTCCCACCATGGTGTTTTCCCTCCCAAAGGCCAAAAATCAATGGAACCAGTCACAGAATGAAATTTCTGAACCCTTAAGCCAAAATAAGCCTTTCATCTTTAAGGAATGGAAAGCTAACAGTACTAGAAATAAATCAGACAAGACAGAAAACAGGACCGGAGATATAGTGCAGCAGGACAGCACCTGCCTCAATTCTCAGTACCAAAAACAAAACAAAAATAAAATAATCAGAAATTGAAAGAAAAAAAAAACCATCTCTTTTTTACAGACAGGAGAATATATCTAGAGAAAGAGAAACAATAAAACTAATATAAAATAATTCAGCAAGTATATAAACTATGAAAATAGCCTTCATATATATAAAATGCAGGAGAAAAATCAC